GCAGCCCCGCGGTGCGGCCCTTGCGGACCCCCCGCATCGTCATTTTCCGCTGTTTAATCCAATTGCGAGGGACATCCGTGCGCCCAATTAGTGACGCACTTTCATAAAGTGAAATAAATAATTAAAGGGAAATTTTTGCCTCCTTTAAATCCCTCTGGGCCAGCCCGGCAGCAGCGAGACCCCGGCTCCGGGGGTCAGCAGCAGCATCGGAACCCGAACCGCAGGCATTTGGGGGAGCGGGTTCTCCCAGTGGCTCCATGGGAAAGAGAGATAAAATTGGGGGTTTTTGGGGAAGATGGGGGTGGTAGTCACCAGCACCAAGCCCAGGCTGGTAGCCACAGTGCTACCTCCACATTTCCTGCTGTAGGTGCCGAGCTGAGCTTTCCCCAATTATTTAATGAGCAATTACTCAGGGTGACGAGGTGCTTGGTGCTTACTGGGGGCCACTGAGTGACTTACTGGGGGCCAGTGGCAAGCAGCAGGGCTTGGGCTCCAGCTCGGCTCTGGTGACCATGGCTGAGAATGTCCAAAAATCAGGAGTGGAGGCCTCTCCCTGGGAAAACAGTGAGATGCACACACATAAGTACATATATACACAACATCCTGCGTGATGCATGCACGTATAGATCCATGGAGGGAAGACGTTTACACATGGGAGCAAAACCTCCTCCTCCTCCTCCTCGGTTGGATCCAGACCCGATCCCAGCATCTCTGTTTCATAAACCCACACCAGTCCTTCTTGCAGGACCCCTTCCTGCAGGATTTGTCCCTCATTTCTCCCGATGCAGAGGCTGGTTTCAATGCGTGCATCGCCTGCCTCGCGTTTATCCCTGCCCGCCTCCAGCCTCCTTTTGTTTCCCCTTTTCCTGGTGAATCCAGTTCCTTGAAAGGAAAATTAATGAGTTCTCGCATCCGCTGCCGCTGGAGCTGCTCTGCCCCTGTGGCAGTGGCGGCCGTGCTGCGAGGTGCAGTCATTTCGGATGGTTTTTGGGGGGAGAAAAATGGTTTCTCCTTCCCTCTGCAGCTTGCAGGGCTCCAGGCCTGGTCCCAGGGAGGGACCCTTTCAGATTTTAAGCAAATCACCAAAAACACCGACTCTGAGAAGGCAAACCCAAAAGATGGTTTAGGCGACTGCCGGTTTTGATCCTTCAGAACAAACACCAACAGCTGAGGAAACATCATCCTGTGATTTTTATTGATTTGATATTAAAAGACGTCGGCGTACCCACAGCACGGGAACACCCGGAGTGCTGACCGCACACAGGCAGCCCGTGCGTCGCAGGGTTGATGCAACCGAGAACCATTAACTTTACAAAACGACGGTAAAAGGGTTAAACATATCCTAAATTAGCTAAAGAATCAATTATATTGCAGTTTAACACCCATTTTTAAATAGGTCTACACGGAAATAAAAGCGTTAGTCCTTGAGTAAACAATGAAATCTAAGCCTGCAGGATTTCTGGAGCTTACGTGGCGCAACTTCTGTCCGAACACACGAGAACTGGAGGCAGAAGCTTCCTAGACCTTAAAATATCAATTAATGAACTTATTTGAAAGGAATAATTTCTAATAAATTAGTTTGTTGTGATGAAAAGAGCTGAACAGACTTGTCTTGCTGACGGTGTCAGATAATTGATGCACACAAACTCCATTAAAAATTATTTAACCTCCACGGCTGCTCTCTAGGAAAGGTTTTTAAGGGTTTTCATAAAATCCCTCACAATGTAAACTTGTTATGGAGAATATGTATTTTGGCGGTGTTTTATTAACAGAATAAGCAGATATAGACATATACATTAAAAATACACATGAACACCCTGGTGACCACCAGCGCGGCAGCTCGAGGGAACAAAACAAGAGAGCCCTGCTCAGCCACCACGGCCTGACAAGGCTCTCATCGTTCTTCAAGGAAAAATTTAGCAGAGGAAGTATTTTTGTCAGCTTATCTGAATATGACGTGACCTCAGTAAGCGTTGAACATGGGGCCGAGGGTGGCTGTCACGTCAGCGAAGGGCGCGCCCTGGCTCAGCTCGATCACCGACCGCTTCTTCAGGACCAGGAAGATGTAAAACTTGGCTGCGGCTTCTTTCCGGCTGTTTTTCCGGCAGAGCTGCTGCAGGCTGAAGGAGCGGGCGCCCGACCTCCTCAGGTGCTGCGGAAGGGAACAAGAAAAATCAGTCAGGTCAGCTTTGCAGCCAGTAAAACCAGATCCCATCGAGCGTGAACTGAAGGGATGCCAGAGCACATTCTGCTTGAACGCCTGGAATTGGATCTTATTTGCATTTGCATTTGTAGAAGTGGCTCTTCCCATTTCATTGCCATTGTGCCGCTAGCACATACATAGGGTACTAAAACCCACGTGTGAATTCAATGAAACTGCGTTGAGGCCTGCGGTGAAGTGCATCTGTAATGGTTTTCATGACTCACACAATCACAGAATGGCTCGGTTGGAAAAGCCCTCTGAGATCATCACGTCCAACCGTTCCTGTCTACCCCCTAAACCATATCCCTAAGTACCTCGTCTACCCGCTCTTTAAACACATCCAGGGATGGTGACTCCACCACCTCCCTGGGCAGCCTGTTCCAGCTCCTGACGACCCTCTCAGTAAAGAACTTCCTCCTTATCTCTGACCTGAACCTCCCTTGGCACAGCTTGGTGCCGTTTCCCCTTGTTCTGTCCCCCATCACCTGGGAGAAGAGCCCAGCACCCACCTCTCTCCAAGCTCCCTTGAGGCAGTTGTAGGAGGTGATGAGGTCTCCCCTCAGCCTTCTCTTCTCCAGGCTAAACAAGGCCAGTTCCCTCAGCCGCTCCTCATCAGGCTTGTTCTCCAGAGCCCTCACCATCCTCACAACAATAAAAACCATCGCACACCCTGTTCTGTGGGTACTGGCTGGGTCACAGGCAGCTTCAGTCACAGCTGGCTGACTGTTATTATTACTTGGTTTTTAATGGCTACACATATATATAAGTATTTATTTACGGGTGTTGCACAGAACCTTTGAAATCCATTCAGATAAAATAATAATAATAAAAAAAAAACCAAGAAGACTGGGAAGTCCAACTGCAGTGCTAGGGAAGGCTTGGACCAAGGTTTGGGTGTTTTGTGGACAAAGCCTGCTCTCCATGCTGGGATTTCTCCATTGTCCTGCTCCATTCTCTGTCCAGCCATGGAGCACGTTGGATTAGAGAAGGAAAATAACTGTATTTTTCACTGGGTTTTTTCCACTCCCCACAGTTAGGCCCATGCTGGAGCACAAAAATGCTCATCCAGGCAAAAAGGAAGGAAAAGCCCTGAGCTGTGAGGTCAAGAGTTTGGACATTCAGCGTCAGGGCTGTGCTGGCTCCTGTCCACACAACAAGTGATATCACACGTTACAGCTTCACCAGTAAAGTCCTGGTTTCCTACATTAATACCCAATAAAACACAGTTATACGCAGTGTGTGAGAGACAGAAATGTGGTCAACGGTGTCTGTGGATTTTCTGACATGGCCCAACAGAAATCAAGACCTGGTTTTGGCATCTAATTACAAAATCCAGCACTGGTACCTGCAGAGTCTTTAATAACTGAAGGGTTCTTTTGCTCCACCTTATTTCTTCACTGTCCTTCCTGTTCACCATTGGCTCCTTGAGAGGAAAGAGAGAAGGAGGTTAGACAGCTCCTGTAAAAAGCCACACACCATGATGACAAAAAGGACAAGAGTTTGAGCCTAACTGAAAATCCAGCTGGAGATGGGCATTTTGATGGCAATCCCAGGGTATCTGGGACCTCTGGCAGGAGAGGATCGCCCTTTTTTTGGAGAGTCTGAGCATCCTCACGTATGTTCAGTTCAGAAACTGTTTCCTTCTTACAGGAAGCACAATCTCTAAATGCGGAGCTGTTTCCCTCACAGACTACAACCTCTGGATGTTCTCCCTGACGACCCAGCAATTCCAATTTTTGACTGGCACAATGCGTACTAAAGATGATGTTAGTACACCAACAGCCACCGTGAGCTCACGGTGCCATCACTTTTGTCTTTAATATTTCTGAGAAAGAACACAGCTCTGCTCTGCACTAAGCTGTCAGCTTGGTGTTACCTCAGGTTGCTGCGCTGCAGCGTCTCGGCCCGATGAGTTGTTCACCAGTAGGGAGGTGTCAGAGGAAGCCGCTGCATCCTGCTGGGAGGACAGAAAGGACCATCAATAGGTGCCACGATTTATGCATTTGACATAATTCTGCTCAAAGAATTTATTATAACAAATGTTTTCCAAAAATGATTTTGTATTTGCTACTTCTACCACCTCTTTTCTCCCAGGGGAAAGGATCCTGCTGCAGTATTTATCCTACAGCTGGATCTACACCTATGGCACAGACCCTACATTTTCTGCTGCCCTAAGGTCCAGTTTTGCCATTCTTTTTCAACTTTAATGAGCTTTATATTGTCTAAAGAACGCCCTTTCCTGCTAGCCTAAATAAGATAGCAGAAATGGATAATTTGTTATTGCTTGAGTATTTCCTCAATTATGAGTCACAAAAGAGAATTTTTATCCTTATAAAGATGATTATCTCTTCAGTAAAAAGAGGCCGTATTTCATATTAAAGTTCTGTTCGTATTTAGTGATTAGACTGTAAGCTATACTGATTAATAGACATCTTAATTAATAGTTCAGTTCATGGTACGAGTCTTCCAAAGTGCCTATAAATAAAATTTCATGACACAACCTACGTAACGCTATATGAGCTGTCTCTAGCAACCCTTGCAAACGTATATTCATAATGTCTTAACGTCTTTTAAATGAAACCCTAGCATAAAATGAAACCAGTAAATACATTTAGGTCCCTCAAATTTACAGAAACTGCTCACTAGAGTTTCGCCACAGTTGGCATCAGTTTCATTCCTGTTATTCTGTGATGTTAACATAAACAAATAATCTCTGTTCTGTCTCTCAGTCTCTGAGTGAGCTGACTCCTGCAGATAACTTGGTTCTTCTACTACTGGCATCTCTGTATTAACAAAAAAAAACAAGGTTTGAGAGGAAATTACTGCGAATCTTTGTCTTTATAAAAAATTTGAGCAATAAAAATGACACCATAGTCTAGAAACCTTTGACAGTAAGAGCCAGAATGAGTAAATATGGAATAAATCTCATTCCCAACAGGACCATGGAAGAAGAAGAACCTTCCAAGAGGGTTTTTCCTTTTCTAAATGTTGACCTTTACGGCCTTGCAGGAGGGGGTTTGGTGCACTGACTGCTGTGGCAGCCACACAGGTTGTGTTGCCCGCAGAGCAAGGGACTTAGAGCAGATACCTCACCCGAGCAGGAGATCTGCAATGGGACATTTCTTCTTGCTCGATACTAACCAAAACACAGTCTTCAAGGTACAAACAGAAGTTATTGACATGGATTTGAAAATCTGGAGAGGGGTTTGATTATACTGAGAATAAATGGGATGCTTTTACAAATAAAATCAATCTGCAGTATGGGAGACAATGAGAGAAACCAAAGGTGAAACCAAAAATATCTCCTTATGCTACAAGGAAGAAAAAGATTTGCATTTCATTTCTGATCCAAGGAGCAAAAGCACAGCAAAGTACTTACAAAAAACCCCCCATCTTTTTAGAATTAACAGTCAATTTCCTTAACATTTAACTTTGTTGGCCTTTGATTTGTATAACACTGCACACAGACACCATGCACATGTGCCTCAAACATCACGTAAAGTCGAAAATATTTTCTAACAGCTAATTCTGCAAGAGCAGAACTAAAATATTACCTGTGGTATCTTGCTCTTTTCTTGTTTCTTCTATTTCAGGCCCCTTCTGTATTTCATTTCTTGTCATCTTAAATCCATGACTCTCGAAGCATTGTTCAAACAACTGAAAACAAGTGTTTTTATTTGTTTGCTTTCAGAAGGTAATGTCAGATTATTTGCAAACATCAACATGAATTTATGAGAATGAGCTGTATATGAATTACTGCAGCCTAGAATTTAAGGGAGTTGAATTAGGTCATTCCGAAAACCTGCATTTTTTAAAAAAAGCAATTTCCTTCTGCAGCTTCGACTTTGGCATCAAGCTCCATGAAGAAACAACTTAGGAACAGCTTGGATCGTTTTTCCTTGAAGCCAGCGGGTAAGGAGGGATGAAAGAAAAAAAACCCATCTGCAGTGATCTGTGCGTGGATTTCTCTCCCCATGTACTGCTGTGTGAGTATTTTTCATCCTCATAAAGAACAAGCTGTAATTCTGCACCTCGACTCTAAGCGGTGAAGCTGTGCTGCTCTAAGGAACCTGACGAGCTGTCGGCCTGCAGAGCCTGCCCTGCATATCTCACACAACAGGAGAAACCACACAATTAACAGGAGGCTGCTGCACAGAGCTCGCACTGTATCTTCCTGCATCACCTTGTATATACCTCATCAATCTCTTCTTTATCTTATCACCAGCTCTAAACTTACAGCTTCTTCGGATGATCTGTCAGATGCTACGTGGGGACACGAGAGGCTTTGACAGATCATATTTCCATGAAACAGCTCTATCTTTCTTGCAAAAAGGTCCACAGCCACAGGAAAGGGTGGCCACTACCCACAGAGACAGAGGGGTCAGGAACCTCTTGGCCCTCTGAAAATCCCTGACTGCTCTCCAGCTAGGAAAGTGTGAAAAAAAATGGCATTAACGATATAGTAATAATGATGTGTAAGCCTTATATACCTTCAAAGTAAATACAGAAGAAAGATAAGATGTGGCCTCATATTGATTGCAGAGCAGAAACAAAACAGAAAATAATAAAAGACAGTAGAAAGTAGGAGAGAAATGGATAGAATTTTTTTAAACTGTGTATTTGTGTACAGTCAGGTACCAGTATGTGAAACGAAACATCAGCTCTCAAGTGTCTTTGTCATTTTTCACTTCTTGTTGGAGTGCTGGAGGTTAAAGCCATGAGCTCTACAGATGGTCCTTCTGATGAAGCAATTAGTGGTGAGCATGCAAATAACCACCAGGTATCCAACTGCCCTGTACTGCAAAGCAATACTTTCAGTGATGCTGCGCAGCCGCAGGTAAAACCAAGCCTGCAAAATCTCTCACAGTGAGACCCCAGATGTGCCACGGTCCCAGGATCTACACAGCAGCATAAAAATCTACAAAGAACTGATTTTTACCATTTGCAGCTCAGCGTGAACCACAGGCTGTGCAGCGAGGGACAGGAGCTTATCCACGCCTCCTGATTTCTTCCACATCATCGTTTTCTTTGTTGGGGGTGCAAGGTCTAACGTAGCAAGGATGTCGGTGCAGTTGGTAAGTTGGTTGTATATAGCCTTGCAGCTGAGTTCCTTCTCCGCATCCACAAGCAACTTCCTCTTTCTTTTATTTTTTTTCCTCTGGGTGACAGCTAAATAGAGCAAGTATTTTTCAAAAAAGGAAGAAAAGGCTAGTAAGGTCTATTCACAGAACACTTAAGCACAGAAAAAAGCACTGTGAATCAAATGGAAATGACCTCCTGAAACATTGCACGGACTGGAAAACTGAAGTACAAGTGCACAGGCCATACCTCCAAAAGTTTTCATAAAGTCTACTCTTTGTATTCGTGTACGGGAAATCCACGTGTGTTTACGCACAGAAGATACATGACTATTGTACCAAAGAACCAGGAACACGAGGACTCAGTGAGGACATGGGATATACCAACAGACTGAATAAGCCAGCTTTAATCCATCAGGAAGTCAATTCTTCCAAGAACTCCTGATGTGATCAACAGGTTTCATTACCTCATAATTCATATCTGTATTTGTCAGTTTAATCCTTTAGCAATTTAGTTAAGACGTGTGTGGTAAACACAAAAGAAAGACACGGATAAGCCATAACTTCCTGAATATTGTTTTGGCAGGCTGGAAAATTCCAGTGTCCTAAATATTAGTGTCAGCATGAACTTGTTTATTTGCTAACAGCCCCCAGAGTGATAGGTGACGTTTAGAGTTACCCACAGAAGAAGTGAAACATTTTTCCTTTTGGATCTTATTGAAGTCAAAAGTTCACAGAGCAAAATTTTACAAAGGCCTGAAAGTCTTCAGATGGTTATTTTACACATAAAAACCACTGATGCGTCCCTAGCAATAAAAGTTCTTCAGCTGAAACTTCAGTAACTCACGATCAGGCCAGGATTGCACTGCCAGCAGAACCGCAGAGCAACAAAACTTGATCTGGAATGCGGAAGAAACTGTGAGCAGAGATTTGGGCAGATCAGCTGAATAACCTGGTACTGGTTTTGTGTAATAGTTACCATAAGACAGAACTCTGGCAGCAGGAGCAGATGAAACTTACAGTGGGAATAATCTGTTTTGCAAATATTTTCACTAGCAGGGAGAAAAACAAACCTTGAAATGCAAACAACAAGAAACTGATCAAGTTCTGACCTGTATCCTCAATGGGCTCAAGCACAAACCCTTCTTCTTCATTCAACAAAATGACTGTTTCATTCACTAGATGATTTACTTTCTTAATGGTGGTGTCTGCGAAGTTGGACTCCGCTATAAGAAAACCCAGCAAATAACCCAACTTAAAATAAAAGTTTACAAGACGGAATAATGTCTCAATGTCACAACACAGAGTGATACCAGACAAAAAGGATCAGAATTAGAAAACTATTATTTTGCCTATAAGCTCATAATCACTTTCTGTCAAGTTACAAAGCTAGAATTGCTAGGTCAACTGAAATTATACCTAACATGGTGTATGAAGCATATTAGAAAAAAAAGCCAACGGCATGAAGAGAGGAAGAAGGCACAGGATATTCTACAAAGCCGGGTGTGAGTCACTTCAGGCATTAACACAGGGGCAGAGGGTTGTGAGTGAGACGCAGCAGACAAGGTGAACTCACCGGCTGTGCTGTGCTCTGGCGGCTCTTGTGACAAAGGATGCTCCTCCTCCATACCCAGGCTGTCTTTGTCTGGGCCGTTTTGCTCATCCCTCAACAGGATTTCTTAAATACAAAATGCATAGTTTTAGTTGTTCTAAGCCTTTGTAGTCATAAACCAGCCCGATACAGCCTAATGTTACTCATTTAAGGTTAATTCTCTGCAAACAAAAAAGCTCAGCCTCCACAGGTAGCAGCAATGGTACGGCTGTCTTTAACCTTTTTTGTACTGTTGGTCTTAATTTTGAGATTTCCACCTTTTATTTGAAAAGTATGCTACTGCTATTGTTTAAAAGGCATAAATCTACAAAGGTTTACATAAACACTCTAGATCATAAAGATGTAGAAGCTACTTTGCTGCCTCGGTTATTACAACGATAAAGGGAAAAATGCTGCAGTATTTTACCTTTGAAAATAGAAACTGAATTGGAAAACATTAAGTATCATTTGAATGCCTTCAATTCTAAAACAATGAAATACTTTCTTTAATGTAATTTTACTTAGCAATGTCTAAGTGATCGTAGATTTAGTGACAAGTAGGGGAAAAAAAAGTATGAAAACAACAAAAATAGAGAATTTATGTTTGAAAACAATCACTGTCACGCCGTCTTGCTTGTTTTCCTGTAAGAATAAGAACATCTGGAATGAAGCTAATTGTGTTTATCTGCGGTAAACCCTACCGATCATATCTGCAGCCTCCTCCTCATCTCCAAAGCAGTCGTGCTCGAAAGAGTAAGTGTCTTCGAGCAGCATGGACTTGTCTCCATTCACGGTCCCGGAGTTGGGATCAGCCACGAGGTTGTTGCTGCTTGTTAAGAAGCTGCTGTCAAAGAGGCTCTGTTTTCTTAGCGCCTCTGATTCCTCATCTGAAGAAACACAGAGTTACTGATGCTTCATCTGCATGAATTTTGGAAACACGCATTTATCCATTCCCCAATTCTTGTAAATAATTTTTTTAAGATTGTAAGATATCCCATGCCTCAAATGCAATAACCAAGAAACCATTTTAGCTAATTCAGTTAAAAGCAGAAAATGTTGGGTTTGGTTCTCAGTCTCCAATATAATATTAATTAGGGTATTTACACAGAAAATTAAGCATAAGATGGTACAACAGGCCAATCAGCACAAGTATGAAGCAAATGCACTTTTAATAATAGCTTTTTCACTGGTGGAAAGGACTCAGACTGTACCAAATGTTGCATAAAACAGACTTTTCCATACGGAATATTTCTAATTTCTCGACTTCTCTCACCAAAGTTTCTATCACAGAGAAGTATATTGCTTTCGAAATCCTCTGTAAGTGTGATGTCTTCAGCTCTGCTCTGATTCAAGGTAAAATGTTCAGCAACATCAATGGCACTGATGAAAAAAACATTATACAAAATACAGGGTGAACTGAAACCCACAATTTAGCTGGAATGTGAAAACTTGTTTCTAAACAGCCTCCAATCCTGATGTTTTATCAGAAAGCCCCAAAAGATACCTTCTGTTTCCTGTGGCATTGAAACTACCCCGGCTTATCCTCCCTTCTGTGGAGAGAGATCAACCGTTTCCCAAAGCTATTCGCATTCAAGCCACTTAAGGTTTTATTGATAAAACTCACTGCTTTGAATTTCCTCTAAAAGCTGAAAATAAGCCTATGGAAAACAGGTGCTGTGCATTTATTAAAACTGTTACCTCCAAGCAAGTAGGCAGCTGCCACCTTTGCTAGCCAAAGTGCCTGTGCAATCGCTGTGCAGTGAAAAGTGAGTCTACCACGGCCGTCACAGCCCAAAAGCTGGGGAGAGGGGCTTGAGGAGGGGAAAGCATTTTGTTAACTCAGCTCTGAAATGCTCCCCGCACCTGGAACTCCATCAAAAATGATCCAGATGTATAGTCAGCAAGCAACCTGCCCAGAAACGGCAGACGTTTGTAAGGATGAGGGAAGCACTCATCCTCCTCTCCATATTTCGTGTTTCTCCACTCTCTTCTGCCAATAAACTTGGCCTTGAGTGAGTCTGTTCACACCCAAGCCTTGCAATCTATCAGTTGCTCGTCACACAGAAGGCATCTAATTAACTTAACACCATTGTCTGTAAACCAAGCCACAGAGACACTTTGGGTAGGCAGAAAAGGCAGGCTTTACAGAGCTAGCACCCTGAGGTACTTGAATAAACAGTATTGCATCACAGCTGTACCTACAAGATACTGAACACTTACAGATCCCATCCAACTGCATTTCGACGAGATACAGGGGAAGGCTCAGTGGCAGCCTCTTATCCTGGGCCTTTGGGGCCATCAGAAACGCGTCTTGGCCTCCTGGCTTTTATCAGTTTTTCTACATTAATGCTAATTCGTGTCAGAAAAGCCGAAGGAGTATGCTGGCTTTTCATCAGGAGCCAAGCTGACTGCTGCTGATAAAACACCCCGGCCCCAAAGAGTGATGGAGCAGAAACGAAACGTGATTACACGGTGGAACAGTGCAAATCTGCAAGGTTACTGACCAGAGCTTCCCTGGGCTTACAACAGGATTTATACCGACTTCTGTATCTTCTCTTGAGGTTGGAAATTTGTTTGCAGGCTTCGCTCAGACAATTTAAAATTAGAAAATCCTAAAGTCTAAGTTCAATATGTTATTTCATTGTAACGATCTGTTGATTAAACAGACTTCGAGGAACCCTACAACAGCACAATTCCTGTGGCTGTAGCCTTGTAAAGCTGACTCAGAATTTAGAAGACTTCTCAAATCAGAACAATTCCATCTGAATATCAATCAGATAACAGCAAGGATATTTTTGTACTTCTGAAAATACTAAAATAACGAAGAAAAGCTAGGGAAGCATTTACTTTAAATCAGGTAGTGGTGTTTCAAAGTCATGAAATTCTTCAGGTAACGTAATGGCCTGATAAGTAGCCTCAAAGTTCTCTTCTGGAAGGTCAACAAGTCCTAAAAGAAACAGACAATGTAACGAAATAAATATCAATAAAATAAAAGTACCTATAATAAGACCGTAAACCTGTCAGGAAAGTCTGCTGCCATTCTATTCAAAATAAAAAGGCAAACTTTGTCAACAGGAATTAAAATCCTCAATTTACATGTACTTCAGAAGCCGTATTTTTACAGACAGATACAGCAGGACCTGAAATAGTGTAAATATGTTGGGTTTATGAACAGCTCCTTAAATTCCCTGAAACATTCTCAGAGCTGACATTTAGCCTCGAGTCTTTCACGCCACTTCAAATGAATTATTGCGCTGTCTTTTTCTCTCCAGTGTCTGTATAACGCTATTATCCAGCATCAAATAATTATGAAGTGAGACTGCAGATGCTTGGTAACCGGAGAATCCTGGAACAATTCGGGTGAGGAGGGATTTCTGGAGGTCATCTAGTCCTGCCGGCTAATTTCTAAGATAATTTTTGACTATTTCTGCTGATGGAGATTCCTCAGCATCCCTGGACAGTGTGTTTCAGCATTTTACCACTTCCACTGAGATTTTTTCCCCCTCTTATATCTACTTGGAGCCTCCCCTGCTGCATTTGTGACCGTTGTGTCTTGTTCTTGTGCTGTGCAGTCCTCTATGAGCTACTGTGGTATCTGTTCCAAACAGACAGTACCCTGTACTTATCTTAAGTGTTTCTTCTGGAGATTTCCAAATGTTAACAAATATCAACTAACTAATCATTTTCTTCTCCTTTGGAATAATGTAGTGCAAGCATTCACTGTTCTGCAGACACATTAGGGCTGGCAATAGATGCCTTTTTTTGAGACAACAGTGCCTCCCTGTTTGGTGTCCAAGTACGACAAACGTACAGCCCCTTGGAAAAGGAGCCGGTCATTTCTGCTCCCTTCTCGCTGGCTGCATGGCTGGAGCTCAAAACACACTGTCAGATCTGGCACCAACACACTGCTAGACACGCTGCTGGTGTCATCGGAAATGAAAATTAATTATCTAGCAGCGGAGGCTGAATTCAAGCTGCTTCTCATAAGGCCACTAAAGATACTGCTTCTTTTAAAGGAGTTAAAGACCTGCAGTGGCATCCAATTAAGCCAAACATCAGAGATAGGCACCAGCAAGTTCAATTTCCTTTGGGATCAAGAACGTGTATTTAACAGAAATGTCCAAAATGCGCTTTTAAAACGAGAGGCGTAAAGGCCACAGATGGCTAAATGCAGAACTGTGTACGTACCCGGGCGAAAGGCTGTCTTCATTTTTGTCAAAGCTTCGCTGCAGTCTGCCAAGAGGTACTTTGTTTTCCTGTGGTAAATCCGCACCACTCCTAGGAGTAGGTGTCCAGAGGTTCGCAGAGCTATTGTGAACTTTGATGATTTGAAAGAGTTGTTTGGGAGTTAGTATTTTTGGCAAAAAACATGAAAATGAAAATATTACACAGCAGTAACAGAGTTCTTCTAAAATACACCAGTACAGAGCTCTACGAAATTCAGCAGGGCTTTGCACTGATATAGAGCATCATAAAAAGAAATGTAATTTCAGAGCCAGAAACTTCTGGTTGCTTCTGTTCCTAAACATCACCATGAACTCTTACTTATCTAAACCATCTCAGCTGACTGCCAACGAGCAGTGTAACGCATCCTGAAACAGAAAGTAGCTGCACGTGTTCTAGTACTTGACACTTTGGTTATTTAAGTGAGCAGACACCATACCTACGCTCTTATTTATGCAAATAAAGGCCATAACTATGCTCTTATTTAAGTCTTCCCACACCGAGCACACTCAACGTGGTCGTGCTGATGCTAAACAGGACAGCACGCAAGGGAAAGTAGAGGGTGCTTAGCTAGCACCTCTTGGAAAACACTTCCAAATAATATCAAGATGATTTTAACAACAGTATTAATCATAACCCATGCAAGACGGACAATGAAATCCAGACTATCAAATACCAAGCAGATACTTTCATGGAGAAGATGTGAAAAAACTGCTTGCACCAGCTGAAAGCCTTGGCTCTCCTGAGCCATCGATTGGTGACAGTGCAAAGCGTTCCTGGCTGTTCCCTTGGATGCGATTGCATCGGCGAGGCCAAGGACTGAGTCACGGGTACTCGGCTGCTGCATCTGCGCTCGCTTGAGTCACACCTCAGAGCGATACGCAGAGCACTGCGGCCTCCAGGACTGTTCGGAGCCTCTCATGGGCACTACGTATGCTTAATTATACATTTAATGGTTGGTAATGGGGGACCTGGAAGAAGTCCACTGAAAGCAGCAGGGTGGTTACAATACGTCAGAAGTTATTTATTACAAGATCAGCAGAAGCATTCTCCTCAAATGGTCTGTGTACAGTTTCATGGCAGTTTTCTTAGTCCCTTGACTTGGGTTAAGCAGCTGATTTTTCAATCTTTCTGTGGCAATTTCCTCAAGCACCAGCAATTCTCAAATTATGTACAATACCCACAGCTGGTCCTCAAAGTCTCTGAAGAAAGACCAGTGCTGTAGACCACACTGATGGGCTTGCGATGCCTCATGAGCAGCTCAAACCCATGTCCCGTGCTCCCTCGACCAGCGCTGCCCACTCAGCTCTACCCGTGTGCAGAAAAACACATTGGAATACATTGTGGTGACATTTTCTTACACTGTTCGTAAGCGTATGCCACAGATCTCCAGGAGTAAAATATTTATGTAACTGTCATTTAAGGGGACTGAGATTTTATCCAAGCGAGCGCTGAATAAAATCAGAGTAGGAGTTTACCTCACACTGGTTTTGAAATAACCACAGATTTGTCCTACTAAGCCAGGCCCCACGATACCAGCAGTCCCGCTCCCTACAGAAGATGTACGCCTCTATCCCAGAACGTGCCAGAAGCCACCTCAGCATTTCACAGCGTACCTTTGGCGAGATAATCTTTTCAACGGTAGTCTCTAAATTGCACTCAAATATGTGAGCTTTGGTGAGCTTCTTCTCCCAGTGGGCAGCAAGCCATATTTTGGCCAGCGGCCCGCGCTTGTTGATGAGCAAATGCATGTAGAACATGGTGTCGGGGTCGAGTTGTCACCTCCCTGGGCTGTTCTCCTTCCAACAGGACACGGGCCCTGGGGCACAAAGTGGGAAAAGGGGTTTAATGGGACCTGAGGGGATGGGGAGACCCAGCTGGGTACTGAGGGGATTTAATGGGACCTGAGGGGATGGGGAGACCCAACCAGGCACTGAGGAGATGAGGGGATTTAGTGGGACCTGAGGGGATGAGGGAACTCAACCAGGCACTGAGGGGATTTAATGGGACCTGAGGGGATGGGGAGACCCAACCGGGCACTGAGGGGATGAGGGGACTCAACCGGGCACTGAGGGGATTTAATGGGACCTGAGGGGATGGGGAGACCCAACCAGGCACTGAGGAGATGAGGGGATTTAGTGGGACCTGAGGGGATGAGGGAACTCAACCAGGCACTGAGGGGATTTAATGGGACCTGAGGGGATGAGAGGACTCAACCGGGCACTGAGGGGATTTAATGGGACCTGAGGGGATGGGGAGACCCAACCAGGCACTGAGGAGATGAGGGGATTTAGTGGGACCTGAGGGGATGAGGGAACTCAACCAGGCACTGAGGGGATTTAATGGGACCTGGGGGGATGAGGGGATCCAGCCGAGTGCTGAGGCGATGGAGAAATTTAGCAGAACCCTGAAGGGATGAGGGGACCCAATTGGGCACTGAAGGGATTTAATGAGACCTGAGGAGATGGGGGGACACAACAGGGCACTGAGGGGATGAGGAGATTTAATGGGACCTGGGGGGGATGAGGGGACCCTGGTGGGCACTGAGGGGATGAGAGGATTTGGCGGGACCCTGAGAGCACAAGGGGGATTTGGTAAAATCCTGAGGGGACAGGAGGATTTGGCGGGACCCTGAAGGGATGGGGCAGGAAGATTTAGTAGGGCCTGAGAGGATGAAGGAATCCAGCCAAGCCCTGAGGGGATGAAGGGGACCCAGGCAGGCCCTGAGGGGACAAGGGCGATTTAGTGGGATCTGAGAGGATGGAGACCCAGGCAGGCACTGAGGGAATTGAGGGAGATTTGGTGGGGCCCTGAGGGGATGAGGGGACCCAGGCAGGTGCTGAGGGAGATTTGGTGGGGCCCTGAGGGGAT